AAAGTGCCCTAGGGATGGGAGAGAATGGCTTCTAGAATCTGGACAGAAAGGGCCCCTTAGCAGTAGCAAGGACCTCAGGGAATTCACAAGGTGGGGGAGTTAGGCATGTACATGCCTCATTCTCATGTTATTCTCATGGGTGCCAAACCCTGCAGAAGCCACTGGCCAAAGCCAAGGCCTCTTACCTAGAAGCAAAATGGTAGAGAAGAATCTAGAGGTCATAGTTATATAAAACAAGCTATCTAGAGCTCTGGTTTACCAACCTGTCACTCCTACCTCCCTTCTAGGCCATCTGGACAGAAAAACAGACTTGTACATGAGGGACTGAATGCTATTTGTTCACATATGAAGTATTCAGCAACCAAGTTTAACTGTCTGCTTGCAGATTGTAGTGATTATCATCTCAAATTTAGCCTTTCATTCTTTCCAGCCCCACCCCATTTCAAACTTATTTCTTCACTCAACTACCCAACTGCTCAAGTTGGAACAACACTAATCCAGACTTTCCCTTTGCCTTGTCTTTTTCCGCCTCCCCCCCCCCCCCCAATCCTGGGGCTTGAACACAGTCCCCGAGCTCCTTTTTGCTCAAGGCTAGCAATCTACTACTTTGAGCCACAGCACCACTTCCAGCCTTTTCTGTAATTAACTGGAGATAAGACTATTAGGGACTTTCCTGCCCAGGCTGGCTTTGAACTTCAATCCTCATATCTCAGTCTACTAAGTAGTGTAAGTGTGAGCTACCTACCCTTGGCCTTTTCTGTCTTTCTATGCCTCCCTAATCCTTTGGCTGAAGACAAGTCCCACTTAGAAGTTAACTGCTAAATCTTTCCTTGGATTCATAATATCTACACGGCCTTTGTAACATCTTTTTAACTGGTCACAGGAGACCAAAGTCCCTTGCCACATCCTAGAGAAGACACATGCCCTTTGCTGATGAAGATACCACTCCCTGTGGCCTCACAACCTCTTGCTTCCTGTAACAGCCCTTCTTGTCTCGTGACCTCAGAGATACAAAGCTTTTAAGAGCCTCCTCTAACTTCTTTGGAGCCTGCCTTGAATAAACCTGATTCAAATAAACCTACCAACATTTTGTCTCCTGAATACTGATACTCAACTGGGAAACAACCTGAACATCTGACCTCAGCAAAGTCAGACTCCTTAGTGTTGTCCTCCAGGAAATGGGATCCTCCCTACCTCCACCCACACCATTTTATTCTGTCTGCTTTTCTCCAAAATGTATCTCAAAGCCAACTCCCTCTCTCCACCCCTACTGCTACCAGGTTAGTCCATCATCTTCCCACCTGGATTACTCCTGAGACCACCCACTGCTCTCCCAGCATCAGCCCTAAAGCGTTAGTTGTACCATATATAGTACAAGGCCCTACTCTGGTCCCCAGTTCACCATGGGCCGTGCCCTTCCATGCCAAGCCACATTGCTGTAGCTCTTCCTTGCTTTGACACCAACCTTTTTCTTCCTCAATGCCTTGACCTAAGCAGGGAGCCAGTGGTTCACACCGGTAATCCTAGAGACTCTGGAGACCAAGATCTGAGGATTGCAGTTTGAAGACAGCCCAGGCAGGAAAAGTCCGTGAGACTCTTATCCTCAATTAACCACACTAAAAAAGCTGGAAGTGGACTGATGGCTCAAGTGGTAGAGCACTAGCCTTAAAGCAGCTCAAGGATAGCACCTAGGCCCTGAGTTCAAGTCCCAGGACCGGCAAAAAAAAAAAGGCTTGACAAGTATTATTACCCCAGAAGATATCCCTTGCAGCCAGGTGCCCGTGATTCACACCTGTAATCCTAACTACTCAGGAGGCTGAGATATGAGAAGGTCGGTTTAAAGCCAGCCCAGGCAGGAAAGTCCATGAGACTCTTATCTTGAATAAACTACCAGAAAACCAGAAATGGCACTGTGGCTTAAGTGATAGAATGCTCACATTGTGCTGAAATGCTAAGGGACAATGCCCAGGCCCAGAGTTCAAGTCCCATGACTGACAAAAAAAAAGAAAGATTCCTTGCTCCTTTGTTCTGCTGGTTCCTTTTCAGACTTCAAATCTCAGTTGAAATATGATCACATCAGGCTGGAAACACAGCTCAGTGTTAGATTACCTGCCTATCAAGCAGGAGGCCCTGAATTCAAATCCCAGCATTGTCAATAAAATAAAATAATCACATAAAAGAAGCTCATATCTCTAATCCTAGATACTCAGGTGGCTGAGATCTGGAGATCAAGGTTATAAGTCGACCTGGGCAGACAAATCCATGAGACTCTTTTTTTTTTTTTTTTTTTGGTCCAGTCGTGGGGCCTGAACTTTGGGCCTGGGCACTGTCCCTCAGCTCTTCAGCTAAAGGCTAGCACTCTACCACTTGAGCCACAGCATCACTTCCGGCTTTTTTTTTTTTTTTTTTTTTTGCTTATGTGGTGCTGAGGAATAGAACCCAGGGCCTCAAGCATGCAAGGCAAGCTTGCTCTACCACTGAGCCACCTTCCCAGCCCCATCCATGAGATTCTTTTTTTCTGGATCCGGTCGTGGGGCCTGAACTCTGGGCTTGGGCGCTGTCCCTCAGCTCTTCAGCTCAAGGCTAGTGCTCTACCACTTGAGCCACAGTGCCACTTCCGGCTTTTTTCTTTTTGCTTATGTGGTGCTGAGGAATCAAACCCAGCGCCTCATGCATGCAAGGCAAGGGATCTACCATTGAGCCACCTTCCCAGCCTATCCATGAGATTTTTTTTTTTGGGGGGGGTCTGGTTGTGGGGCTTGAACTCTGGGCCTGGGCCCTGTCCCTCAGCTCTTCAGCTCAAAGCTGAAGGCCTCATGCATGCAAGGCAAGCACTCTACCACTGAGCCACCTTCCCAGCCCCATCCATGAGATTCTTATCTCCAGTTAACTAGCAAAAATCCAGACGCGGAGGTGTGGCTCAGTTAGCAGAACACAAGTCTTGACTAGAAAAAGCTAAACAACAGCATAAGACACTAACTTCAATCCCCCAGTACTGGAGCGCGCACACACACACACACACACACACACACACACACACACACACACAAAGAGGTCCTCCCAACCACTTTGTTGTCTAAAATAAATTTTCTTTTTTTTTTTTTTTTTTGTCAGTCGTGGGGCTTGAACTCTGGGCCTGGGCTCTAAAATAAATTTTCTTCTCTACCTACTGTCCTCTCTTCTCTGTCCAGCACTCCTTAATAGCATACAAGTTGGACCTATACATTTATTTCTTTGAGCTATACATGTATTTCCCACCCACAGAATTTATAGTATAATAGTTATGTAATAATTTGTTTATTTCCCTGTTACACTGTAGAGTCTGTAGATGAAAAAGGCCTGATTTGCCGGGCGCTGGTGGCTCACGCCTGTAATCCTAGCTACTCAGGAGGCTGAGATCTGAGGATCGCGGTTCAAAGCCAGCCCGGGCATGAGAGACCTTGAGACTCCTATCTCCAATAAACCACCAGAAAACCGGAAGTGGCGCTGTAGCTCAAGTGGTAGAGCGCTCGCCTTGAGCTGAAGAGCTGAGGGACAGCGCCCAGGCCCAGAGTTCAAGCCCCACGACCGACAAAAAAAAAAAAAAAAAAAAAAGGCCTGATTTGCTTCACTCATCACTATATCCTCAGGGCCTGGCAAGGAGGAGGTGCTCAACAAATACTGGACAGTGGTGACCAGGCAAGTGGCAGTCAACCATATGTTGCCATACAAAACAGCCTTTTAGAGAATCCTACTGTTTTGATGAGGCTAGAGTTAGAATTCCCATGGGACTGCCCCACACCATCCCAGTTCCCGAATTCCAGAGAAATAAGCACTAAATGTCATGACGGTCAGCCCAAAACATTTTTCAGGGGGAATTTATACAAAGTGGGGGCTACAGTGCTCCCCATGGTAGACAGCAAGACAAGGAACATTCTGCCTGGGCATGACTGCAAGGAGGAGGTTGGGCTGTGGAGTTTGCTAGAGCTGAAGGAATGTGGCTGGGATGGGATCGGACGCTTATGTGTTCAGAGATAGCGCTGATTAACAACTGAAACCAGTTTATCAGTGCCAGGGAAATGTTCATGTCCCCAGCTTGAGGTCACAGAGTGGTTTTTCATATTTCTGGGTCAGGATAGAGAAACAATTGGGGAAACTGAGAGATCCAGTGTACTATCAATGACTTGCCCCTTTCTTTGGACTTTAGTCCCTATCCTAAAACCCCTGCTTCCTCAATGCATCTAAGACTCACTTCAATGAAGTATAAAGGGGGTAGGAAAATAGGAATGATATCACTGGCAAAAATAAGCATTATCTGATGACCAGATAGTGAGAATGAATTGAAAATTGATCATCAAAAATGGGTGAGAGGGGGCTGGGAATGTGGCTTAGTTGGCAGAGTGCTTGCCTAGCACCCATGAGGCCCTGGGTTCGATTCCTCAGTACCACATAAGCAGAAAAAGCTGGAAGGGGTGCTGTGGATCAAGTGGTCGAGCACTAGCCTTGAGCACAGAGAGTCTCAAGGACAGTGCCCAGGCCCTGAGTTCAAGCCTCAGGACTGGCAAGAAAAAAAAAAAAAAAGTGAGAGAACTGGCATTGGTGGCTCATTCCATATTCCTAGCTACTCAGAAGGCTGAGATCTGAGGATCATAGTTCATAGCCAACCTGGGCAGGAAAGTCTGTGAGACTCTTATCTCCAGTAAACTACTCAAAAAGCCAGAAGTGTACTGTGACTCAAGTGGTAGAGTGAAAGAATCTCAGGAGAGTGCCCAGGCCCAGAGTTCAAGCCCCAGGACCAGCAAAAAAACAAAAAACAAAGTGAGCTTGGGGGAGTATAACAGAGGCAGGGGCAGAGAGCTGTCAGGTCTGGGGGAAGGACTGGGGGGGGAGGAATGGGATTGCCTATGGGGTGTGCCTCTTTTCTATTCTCTGGGTCTCCTAGATAAACCCAGCAGTTTTGTCATTCTCTCCTCCCAGCCCCACACTTCGAAAGCATGTCAATCCAAGAGAACATTCAGTTCCAGCAGCTTTGCTCATGGATCTCACAGTCCCAAAAGGACTTAGCAAAGTCTATACTAATTGGGGCTCCAGGAGGTAAGAAGGGGGACAGAAGCTATTGGGCATAGAGGGAAGTGAGGGTACAAATCAGAAGTGGAGGTAGAGGGATTTGGGGAGGGTGTTATCAGGGTGTCCCTGGTGTTAAACATGGACCCTGGTCTGAGCTTCTGGTTCAGGCCCCATGTGTGAGCCAAATGGGAGCCTAAAGCATGGGCTCCACAGGGCATTCTCGTGGTTCCTGGACTCTGGCCCCTGACATACAGAGTTTCTATTGGCAGGAGAGATGTTCACTGGTGACACTTTAACCAGTCCTCAAGGCTGATCCACAGCCTAGCCGGACCTTTGCCTCTGTCAGTGTCATATTGTGAAGCAGACCTACAGAGACGGACGGGGTAGGCGTGCGGTGACATGGAAGGTGCAGATGGACAGGCAACTCCTCTGGGATGGATGGGTCAATTCTCTCCCAAGCCCCCATACACCTGGAGCCATATTGAATAGGCTAAAGTCACCCAGGAGCAGGGTGAAAAAATCAGCTAATTGCCTGGGGTCGAAGGAAATAAACAGGGACTTGAGTGGCTCCTGGGTAAGATAATAAGGGGCACTGTGAACTAGACATGGAAGGGAGCTGAGCTGAGGGAAGTACCCAGCTACTGGGCAAGAACTCTGGGATTGTGAAGGTTCTGTATAGTTGGATGGTCTCTCTGCTCTCTCTCTGCTCTTTCTCTCTCTTTGCTCTTTTCTAGCACTTTTCTCTCTCTTTCCTCTCTTTCCCAGCTCTCTCTCATTCCCAGGCCTTTCCCAGCCACGTGGAGTGCCAACCTTGCCTGGTCCCAGCAAGTCTACTGAATAAACCTACCTCTTACCTGAATACCACGTGCGTGGTGCAGTTCTTACTTGGCTACCTCTTTTTAAAAGCCTAACATAAATGGTGCCTATATAGTTGGGTGATCAAGCACTTGAGCCTAAGATTGGTCCAACTGAGAGTTGGATCCCTTAAGAACCTGCATGATCTTGGGGAACTTATTTTAGCTTAGCCTCTACTTCCTTATCAATAAAAGTGAGATAATTAGCGCATTTCAGAGTATATGCTTTATAAACTCCTTAGCATTAAACGAGATCCTCTATGCAGAATGCCGAGTTCAAAAGAAGGCCTCAGGGTTAGGAATGTGGCTTAGTAGTAGAGTGCTTGTCTAGCATGCTTGAAAAGGCCAGCAGTGGCATTGTGGCTCAAGGGGTAGAGTGCTATCCTTGAGCAAAAGAAGCTCAGGGCCAGTGCCCAGGCCCTGAGTTCAAACTCCAGGACTGGCAAAAAAAAAAAAAAAAAAGTCTCCGCAGAAATTAGAGAGCTGAGAGGACGACTGTAGGATACACTGAGGTACACCATGTGGAGGAAAGGCAGGCCATGCAATCCGTGAGACCCCTTCTACTACTGCAGGACCAGCCGGGTATCTGCGTCGTGCTAGCATAGCCCAGCTAACGCAGGAGATGGGGACTGCCTTCTTCCAGAAGCAGCAGCTATCAGCCGCTATGGCAGACACCTTTCTTGAACACCTCTGCCTGCTGGACATCGACTCTGAGCCAGTAGCTGCTCGAAGTACCAGCATCATTGCCACCATTGGTAAGTCCACACGTTCCCTAGCAACTTCAAACACTATCTCTGGGGTGTCGAAAGAGATTTCCTGTGTCGTGTGTGTGTGTGTGTGTGTGTGTGTGTGTGTGTGTGTGTGTGTGTGTGTGTGTGTGTGTGTGTTAGTGGGGGTTTGAACTCAGGGCCTTGCACTTTGTAAAAACAAGGCTAGTGCTGCTGCTCAAGGCTACTGCTCTACTCTACCACTTGAATCACACTCCACTTCTGGTTTTTTGCTGGTTAATTAGAGATTAAATTCTCCTGGGCTTCTCTGCCAGGACTGGTTTTGAACCATGATCCTTAGATCTCAGCCCCCTGAGTAATTAGGATTACAGGAATGAGTCACCACCATTGGGTTTATTTCCTCAGTCACTAGGATTATAGGTATGAGCCACCAGCACCTGGCTGACATACTCTTACATTTTAACCAAATCATCCTGGTTCCTGGATTGAAAATAGATTGGGGGGGCATTGAGTGAAGACAGAAGCTGCTCCTGTAGTATTTCTCACTGAGTCCAGGTGATAGCAGGGGTGGAGGGGCTGGAAAGTTGGCTCAGTGGTAGAGCGCTTGCCTTGCATGCATGAATGAGGCCCTGGGTTCGATTCCTCAGCACCACATAAGCAAAAAGAAAAAAGCTGGAAGTGGCGCTGTGGCTCAACTGTTAGAGCGCAAGCCTTGAGCTGAAGAGCTGAGGGACAGTGCCCAGGCCCAGAGTTCAGGCCCACGACCGGACCCAAAAAAAAAAAGAAGATAGCAGGGGTGGAGGCCAGAAATGATCTGATGATTCTGGATTCATTATGAAGGCAAATCTAAAAGATTTTCCTATTGAACTAGACAAATATGGGTTGAGGCTGACACACAGAAGAAAGGAGTCAAGACCAATTGCAGACTTTGGAAGGAGGAACTGAAAGATATCATTATCACCTGGAAAGGAAAAAATCTAGTGGGAAAATTATGGGAGATCAGGATTTCAGTTTGGATGATTGAATTTGAGGTACATTATTATTATTATTTTTTGGGCAGTCATGGGGCTTGAACTCTGGGCTTGGGCGTGGTCCCTGGGCTCTTCAGCTCAAGGTGAGCGCTCTACCACTTGAGTCACAAGTTGTCCAGTGGTTTATTGAGATAAGAGTCTCACGGACTTTCCTGCCTGGGCTGGTATTGAACTGTGATCCTCAGATCTCAGCCTCCTGAGTAGCTAGGATTACAGGCGTGAGCCACCGGTACCCAGCTGAGATGCATATTAAACATCCAAGGTTGATACAGAGTTGGCAGTGTGATGCACAGTTTAGGGACTGGAGAAAGGACTGGATCAGAAATATAAAATATGAGTCATCTGTATATAGATAGTATTTCAAGTCATGATAATAGTTGAGATAACCAAGGGGTACAGTTAAAATGACAGATAGGGATGTAACTCAGTGGTAAAGCATAGGCTTTGCATTAGCAAGTCCCTGGGTGTGATCCCTAGGATCAACAACAACAGAGATCTGCCAGGTACCATTGGCTCATGCCTGTAATCCTAGTCACGCAGGAAGCTGAGATCTAAGGATGGAGGTAGTTCAAAGCCAGCCCCGGAAGAAATGTCCCTGGGAGACTCTCATCTCCAATTAACCACTCAAAAACTGGAAGTGGAGCTGTGGCTCCAAGTGGTAGAGTTCTAGCCTTGAGCAAAAAAGCTCAGGGACAGCACCCATGCCCTGAGTTAAAGCCCTATGACAGATTAAAAAAAAAAAAAAAAAAGACATAAGAACTGGACATTGGGCTGGAAATGTGGCTTAGTAAGAGCGTGCTTGACTAGCATGCATGAAGCCCTGGGTTCCATTCCTCAGTACCACATAAATAGAAAATGCTGGAAGTGGCACTTTGGCTCAAGTGGCAGAGGGCTAACCTTGAGCAAAAGTAGCTCAGAGGCCAGGCGCTGGTGGCTCACGCTCTTAATCCTAGCTATTCAGGAGGCTGAGATCTGAGGATGGCAGTTCAAAGCCGGCCAGGGCAAGAAAGTCCATGAGACTCTTATCTCCAATAAACCACTCAGCAAACAGGAAGTAGTGCTGTGGCTCAGTGGTAGAGTGCTAGCCATGAGCTGAAGAGCTGAGGGACAGGACCAAGGCCCAGAGTTCAAGCTTCATGACTGACAAAACAAGTATCTCAAGGACAGTGCCCAGGCCCTGAGTTCAAGCCCCAGGACTGGTAGCAAAAAATAAAAAATAAAACAACTGGACATCTACTGAAGAAGGAAGACTAAGAAGGGAAGAAAAGGGAAGTCAAGAGAGCAGGTGTCTTGGAGGCCAAGGGAAAGAGCTGGGTGCAGCTAAGTGGTGGAACACTTGCCTATAGTATACAGAAGGCCCTGGATTCAATCTCGTGAACAACAACAGAAAAGCGGGTTCAGATGGCACATACCTTTAATCCTAGTGACTCAGGACAGGCTGAGATCTCAGAATTCTGGTTGAAAACTAATATCACAGAAAACTCCATGAGACTCTTATCTCCAACTTACCAGTAAAAAAAAAAAAAAAAAAGCTGGAAGTAGAGGTGTGATTTAAGTACTCCAATGTGAGCCTCAAGCAAAAAAGCGAGAGGGGTGGGGAAAGAGGGAGGGAGGGAGGGGGGGAGAGAGAGAGAGAGAATATATCAAAGCTGTTGATGGGGGGCTGGGAAGGTGGCTCAGTGGTTTAGAGCTTGCCTTGCATGCCTGAGGCCCTGGGTTCGATTCCTCAGCACCACATAAGCAAAAAGAAAAAAGCCGGAAGTGGCGCTGTGGCTCAAGGGGTAGAGCGCTAGCCTTGAGCTGAAGAGCTGAGAGAAAGCGCCCAGGCCCAGAGTTCAGACCCCATGACTGGACCCCCCCCCCCCAAAAAAAAAAAAAGCTGTTGATAGCCCATGGAGAAGACCGAATATTCTCAGTTGACGGAACTCAACTCTCAGTACAATGAGGCTTCTCAGCCTTAAAGCTTCAGACCTGTCCCCCCAAACCTTCATCTGACTTTTACCTCTACCCATGCTGCCTCCTTAAGTGTGTAAATATTGGTTAGATCCGGGAGTAATGGTCAGGTATCTGGACTCCTATGCTGTGCGGCGGCTCTGGAAGCTTTGGGTTTGGTTGTCCCTTGAGTTTGAGGGGAATCTCTGGTTCCAGGTCCAGCATCTCGCTCCGTGGAGCGCCTCAAGGAGATGATCAAGGCCGGGATGAACATTGCAAGACTCAACTTTTCCCACGGTTCCCACGAGGTGCAGGGAGGTTGGGTGAAGGGTGGAGCTGGAGGAGGCTTCTGGAAATGAATACCTCCTGAAACCTGGGTTCTGTGCCCACCCCTCAGTACCATGCTGAGTCCATCGCCAACATCCGGGAGGCAGCGGAGAGCTTTGCAACTTCCCCGCTCAGTTACCGGCCTGTGGCCATTGCTCTGGACACCAAGGGGCCGGAGATTCGAACTGGGATCCTGCAGGGGGTGAGAGAAGAGGCCTCACCCAGCCAGGGAAGGGAAACACGCAGGCATTTGGGGGCGTGGCTAGGGAAACAGGCGGGGCGTGGGGGCGGTCCAGGGGGCGGGGCATCACGCAATGCGTGGAGCTAGCCAGTGGGCGGGGCTAGGGGCGGGCCTTGGATGGTCGAGGCTCACGCCAGCTCTGGCCCCACCCCCAGGGCCCGGAGTCGGAAGTGGAGATTGTGAAGGGCTCCCGGGTGCTGGTGACTGTGGACTCAGCCTTCCGCACGCAGGGGAACGCGAACACGGTGTGGGTGGACTACCCCAATATCATCCGGGTCGTTGCAGTGGGGGGCCGCATCTACATTGACGACGGACTCATCTCCCTGGTGGTCCAGAAAATCGGTGGGGATGCTCCTCCCGCGCCGACTAATCGCTGAGCACATTCCTTCCCTTTGGCGCCCCCATTCGCTCTTACTCCAACCACACCTTCCCCTGGCCATTCGTGCTTCCCCGCCTGACTTGGAGTCACCAGCACCCTACTCCTGCCCTCTCCAGGGGTGGGGGGCTGGATTTGCGGGTTATTCATTTGTTTTTGCACAGACATCTGTCTGTGGGCTCAGAACAAGTGGAAGAGACAAGCACATGACTCTCTTTCTCTGTCTCTGTCTCTCTCGTGTCAGTCGTGGGGCCTGAACTCTGGGCCTGGGCGCTGCCCCTGAGCTCTTCAGATCAAGGCTAGTGCTCTACCACTTGAGCCACTGCGCCAGATTCTTAAATCTCTTGAGGGTTCAAGCCCGGAATTTGCTCTGTTGTGACTCTGCCTTTACCTCCCTCACCCTTGACAAAAGCTGTCTTTCTTCATGCCCATAGGCCCAGAGGGGCTGGTGACTGAAGTGGAAAACGGCGGTATCCTGGGCAGCAGGAAGGGAGTGAACTTGCCAGGCACAGAGGTGGACCTGCCTAGTCTATCTGAGCAAGATGTCAAGGACCTGTGCTTCGGGGTGAAGCATGGTGTGGACATCATCTTTGCCTCCTTTGTGCGCAAAGCCAGTGATGTGGCTGCTGTCCGGGCTGCCCTGGGGCCAGAAGGAGAGAACATTAAAATTATCAGCAAAATTGAGAACCATGAAGGCGTGAAGAAGTGAGGCTTAGTCTTTGTTATTGTCAGGCCTATATCCATTGTCCCTCTTCTGCCTGCTGCCCTCTGCCATTTCTTGGCTCTGCCCCAGCCCTGATTCCTCCAACTGCCCAGGTTTGATGAAATCTTGGAGGTGAGCGATGGCATCATGGTGGCACGGGGAGACCTGGGCATCGAGATCCCAGCTGAAAAGGTTTTTCTGGCTCAGAAGATGATGATTGGGCGCTGCAACTTGGCAGGCAAGCCCGTGGTCTGCGCCACACAGGTCTGGAGTGAACCCTTGGCACTGGGGTACTCTTTGGGTTATACAGACACTGAAGGTGGATATCCACACATTAAATCTACACCACACTGGCTGCTCAGTGTTAGATCCTGAAGCAATGTAGTTAAGTACAAATACTGTGATGTGACCCCTATTTTTAGATAAGAAAACTCAACTGTCAGGGTCTAGGGCTGGACTTGTAAGTTACCCAGAGGATGGTATCCATGGTGTTCCCTAGATGCTGGAGAGCATGATCACCAAAGCCCGTCCAACTCGGGCAGAAACAAGTGACGTGGCAAATGCTGTACTGGATGGAGCAGACTGTATCATGTTGTCTGGAGAGACTGCCAAAGGCAACTTTCCTGTAGAAGCTGTGAGGATGCAACATGCGGTAGGAGCTCAAGATGATAGGCCATGAAACTAAACTTCTTTGAGTCCCTTGTTGCCCCTGCCCAGCCTGACCTCTTGATGCCTTCAGATTGCCAGAGAGGCAGAGGCTGCCGTGTACCACCGGCAGCTGTTTGAGGAGCTACGGCGAGCAGTGCCACTGAGCCGTGATCCCACTGAGGTCACTGCCATTGGTGCTGTGGAGGCTGCCTTTAAGTGCTGTGCTGCTGCTATCATCGTGCTGACCACGACTGGCCGGTGAGGGGCACATCACACCAGATAGGGCTTTACTCAGGGGAGGCTGGGGGACCTCCAGGCCTGAATATTGTCTGATGGCCAGGGAAGAGTACTGCTTCAGGGCAAGAAGAACTAGAGGCCAGTAGAGGCAGATCTTGAGGTAGACCAGGACTTGTACAGTGAACTCCAAGGGGACAGGTGAGGGACAGTGGCGGGGGGACTGGGAATGTGGCTTAGTGGTAGAGTCCTTGCCTAGCATGCATGAAACTCTGGGTTCAATTCTTCATAATAATAATTCTATGTAAATAGAAAAAGCTGCAAGTGGATCTGTGGCTCAAGTGGTAGATTGCTAGCCTTGAACAACAACAACAAAAAAAAAAGCCCTGAGTTTCAAGCCCCAGGACTGGCAAAAAAAAAAAAATCTCATGGACTTTTTTTTTTGGTTGGTCGTGGGGCTTGAACTCTTGGCCTGGGCACTGTCCCTGCTCTCTTCAGCTCAAGGTGAGTGCTCTATCGCTTGAGCTACAACGCCACTTCTGGTTTTCTAGTGGTTTATTAGAGATTAAAGTCTCATGGACTTTCCTGCCCAGGCTGGCTTTCAACTGTGATCCTCAGATCTCAGCCTCCTGAATATCTAGGATTACAGGCATGAGCCACTGATGCCTGGCTGACTTTTTTTCTTTTCTTTTCTTTTCTTTTTTGTCCATTGTGGGGCCTGAACTCAGCCTAGGCAATGTCCCCCAGCTCTTCAGCTCAAGGCTAACGCTCTACCACTGAGCCACAGTGCCAGTTCCCACTTTTTCTGCTTATATGGTGCTGAGGAACCGAACCCAGGGCCTCATGCATGCAAGGCAAGCACTCTACCACTGCGCCACCTTCCCAGCCCCCCGCTCATGGACTTTTCTGCCTGGGTTGGCTTTGAATCTTGATCCTCAGATCTCAGCCTTCTGAGTAGCTAGGATTACAGGCATGAGCCCAGCTTGACTTTGTGTTTTGTTTTTTTGTTTGTTTGTTTTTTGTTGGTTGTTGCCGGGGAGGTGAACTCTGGGCCTGGGCGCTGTCCCTCAGCTCTTTAGCTCAAAGTTGGTGCCCTACCACTTGAGCTACAAAGCCACTTCCCGTTTTTTTCTGCTTATGTGGTACTGAGGAAATGGGATCCAGTACCTCACACATGTGAGACAAGCACTCTACCACTGAGCCAACTTCCTAGCCCGACTTTGTGTTCTTAACAAACTTTTTCACTCATATCTGGCACTCAACCACTTGAGCCATACTTCTAGTCCAGCCTTTTGTATTGTGTGTGTGTGTATCTGTGTGTATTTGTTCTGGTCCTGGAGCTTGAACTTAGGGCCTGGGCACTAACCCTGAACTTTTTTTGCTTAAGGCTAGCATGCTATCACTTGAGCCACAGCTCCACTTATGTTTTTGGTAGTTTATTGGGATAAGAGTCTCATCGACTTTCCTCCTCAGCCTGGCTTGAACTTGAATCCTCAGATCTCAGTCTCTTGGGTAGCTAGAATTACAGATATGAGCTACTGGCACCTGGCAAGTCCAGTTTTTTCACTAGCTAATTGGAGGTGAAGTGTTGAGGACTATTCAACCCTGGCTGGCTTTGAATTGGGAACCTCAGATTTCAGCCTTCTGGTTATCTAGGATTACAGTTATGAGTTATAGCACCTGACTGGCTTTATCTTCCTTCCTTCCTTCCTTCCCTTCTTTTATTTTTATTTATTTATTTTTTGTCTGTCATGGAGCTTGAACTCTGGGCCTGGGTGCTGTCCCTGAGCACTTCAGCTCAAGGCAAGTGCTCTATCACTTGAACCACAGCGCCCACTTCCGGTTTTTTGAGTATGTGGTGCTAAGGAATGGACCCCAGGGCCTCATGCATGCATGCAAGGCAAGCACTCTACCACTGAGCCACCTTCCCAGTACCCCCCTCCTCTTTCTTTTTTCTTTCTTTCCTTTCTTTCTTTCTTTCTTTTCTTTCTTTCTTCCCTCCTTCCTTCCCCCCCCCCCCCACTTGCCAGGCCTGGGGCTCCTTTGCTCAATGCTAACACTCTACCACTTGAGCCACAGCACCACTTCCAGCTTTTCCTGTTAATGTGGTACTAAGGAATCAAACCCAGGACTTCATGCATGCTAGGCAGACACTCTATCACTAAGCCACATTCCCAGCTCCTGGCCTTATGTTTCTTTTGGTGTTTTTTGTTTTTTTAATGGTCACTTGTGGGGCCTGAACTCTGGGCCTGAGCGCTGTCCCTCAGCTCTTCAGCTCAAGGCTAGCACTCTACCACTTGAGCCACAGCGCCACTGCTGGCATTTTCTGCTTATGTGGTGCTGAGGAATCGAACCCAGGGAGGGCCTCATGCATGCAAGGCAAGCACTCTACTGCTGAGCCACCTTCCCAGCTTTCCCAGCTTTATGTTTCTTAAAGAAGTTTCTCTTGGGCTGGGAAGGTGGCTCAGCAGTAGAGCGCTTGCCTTGCACGCATGAGGCCCTGGGTTCAATTCCTCAGCACCACATAAGCAAAAAGAAAAAAGCCCGAAGTGGCGCTGTGGCTCAAGTGGTAGAGTGCTAGCCTTGAGCTGAAGAGCGGAGGGACAGCGCCTAGGCCCAGAGTTCAGGCCCCATGACCGGACCCCCCCCACCCAAAAAAAAAGAAGTTTCTCTTTATTTCATATAGTACATACTTGCCACCTCCTATCATCATCGTATGACAGGGGAAAACTAAGACCCAGAGGAGTACTATAACCTACTTAGGATTGCATAGTTTGTTGGTGACACTTGGAACCAGAAATCAAGCTTATTTCCTGGTTTAACACTATGTTAATGTCATGGGCTCACCTTGTCTTCTTGCAGCTCAGCCCAGCTTCTGTCTCGGTACCGACCTCGGGCAGCAGTCATTGCTGTCACTCGTTCTGCCCAGGCTGCCCGCCAGGTCCACTTGTGTCGAGGAGTATTCCCCTTGCTCTACCACGAACCTCCAGAGGCCATCTGGGCAGATGATGTTGATCGTAGAGTCCAATTTGGCATTGAATGTGGTAAGTCTCCTAGACTTCCCATCTCCTCTGACCTAGCTCACATTCACTCAAAGGGCTTTGCCTATCTCCTCTGGCCCCAGATTATTTTATTTTAGTTTTGCTGGTTCTGGGGCCTGGGCACCATCCCTGAGCTTCTTTTGCTCAAGGCTATCACTCTACCACTTGAGCCAGAGTACCACTTCTAGATAAGAGTCTCACAGACTTTCCTGCCTGGTCTGGCTTCAAACTGCAATCCTTAGGTCTCAGCCTCCTGAGTAGCTAGGATTACAGGCATGAGCGGCTTGACCTCTTTCTCTCAGCACTGCCATATGGAACAGGTTTAATACTTAGCAAGGATATATATTCCATTCTGCCCTGTGAACATGCTGCTGTCTTTTCCTCCTGGCAGTGCCTCCAGCTTAGGTTCCTAATCCCATTCTCCAGGGTAGCCTTGAGGTGATGGGTCCCTCAGTGACTAAACCACTGCTTCTTCCCTCTTCCAGGAAAGCTCCGTGGCTTCCTCCGAGCTGGGGATCTGGTGATTGTAGTGACAGGCTGGCGACCTGGCTCTGGCTATACCAACATCATGCGGGTGCTGAGCATATCCTGAGATGCCCTCTCTCCTCAGACCTCGCCTGTATCATATCCCTTCCTCCTCCACTCTGCTGCTTGAAACCAACACCCCTTCCACAGCATGTCTCTGTACCCCCATCCTTCCTACCAGAATTAACATCTGTCATCTAGCCCCATTCCAGGGTACCCCTCCCCATCTCCCTGAGGTCCTGGAAATCTGTGTCCAATTAATTTTGCACTGGCTACCAATTGTATATCCCCTGCATTCAATCTGCTCAGCTAGACCTAAGATGCCCTGAGCCTTTAATCCCAGCTTGGCTGGTTAATTCTATTCATCTAGGCTTCCAATCCCTGGGGCTGGGGAGAGGAATTAGGGTGATCTTTTCCACAGCCTACACAGAATCATTTTAAAAAATACCTTGTGTTTCTGCAGTTTGATTTTTTATGTGTGTGTGGTGCTCTCATAATGTGACTATCTCCTGAGCAGTGGGATCTCCTCCTGATGGTCTGGAGAAGGCTCTGCTTTATGGTGATTGACAGTGACATTAAACTGCCACATTTGGAGGAAGCTAGGGTACATGGATGTTGGGGAGAACAGAAAGCCAAATGGGCTGGTGTGTGTGTGTGTGTGTGTGTGTGTGTGTGTGTGTGTGTGTGTGTGTGTGTGTACTAGGGCTTGAATTAAGGGCTTGGGCACTGTTCCTTAGCACTTATGTTAAAGGCTAGTTGATCTACCGCTTGAGCCATACCTCCACTTCTAGCTTTTTGCTAGTTACCTGGAGATTAAGCCTCACAGACTTTCCTGCCCTGGGTGGTGAGCCTCAATCCTCAGATCTCAGCCTCCAGAATAGCTAGATTACAGGCATGAGCCACTGGCACCCAGCTATGTGGGCTGCTCTTGTCAGTGCTTCACAAGCTCTGTGCTAGACTAAGAGCCGAGTCTCCTGGCACTCATGCTCACCACTTGCCTTGATGATTCACATACCCTTCTTGCACCCAGAAATTCCTGCACACCCACACACAGACCAGAAGCCAAAACGAGTGTCTATTTTCTTTTTAAACCCAACTGTTTAGGAGCAATTATAAAAACTTCTCCCACATACCAGAACCCCAGAACTCCCCACCCAGGAAAGGAAGAGATTTAGGCTCCTAGCCCCACATTCTTCTACGCTGCAGTGTAGAAGGGACAATGTGGGTAGGTAAGGGATTACCCTAGTCCCTGAGAAGGCAGAGAGGCTGGATGGCCTGCTCTTCCCCAGGCATGGAGGCCTCAGTGCCTCCCCTTACTCCTGCAGCACCAGCAAACCTAAAGGTAGACACATCAACTTCCCCCTCTTGGGAGGCCCCTAGTGCTACTATCTGGATAAGGAGAAGGTTACAGTATTGCTGCTGATGGCATTTAGTGAGCATAGAGATGGCATGGAGGGGCCCTGCCTCCTTCTACTCCTCCCATCTTCCTACTAGGGAGATGTGTGTGTGTGTGTGTGTGTGTGTGTGTGTGTGTGTGTGTGTATGTGTGTGTGTGGACAGACAACAAAGGAATGAGAGAACAAAATGAATCGATAATGTTAGATTAGTAAGTGAATAAATAAACTTAATAAATGACAATAAATAAGACACATAAACAAAGAGGGACAAAAAAGAAAAGCCATGTAAGAATGTAACCACTTGCCCCCAACCTGGGGGGATCTAGGCTGGCACACTAAATAAAGTGTTAAGTTTCCCTTATTTTTAAGTGGGGGACACCACAGGGGTAAGAGGCACGGGGGAGAGGAAGCTCCAGGTTTATAAAGACTGTTCTACCACACAGACAGAGACTGCTGGGAACTTGGAGGGAGATGCATGTTCCCACTCAGAGTATAGACTCTAGGGTCCAGAGGTGGCAGTGAGGGGCAAAGGTAGATGCCCACACTTAGGACACAAGACCTCTGTTGGCAGTAATGGGGGCACAGGTAACTGACAGCTATGCTAAGATAAACACGCCAGGCAGGGGACAGGAAGATAAACAAGCCAGACAGAGCCTGTAGTATCACAGACAAGGAAAGAGACATCTAGTTACTTGGCAGTGATGGCGGTGGCAAGTACTTGTGCTTAGTAAAGGCAGGGTCAAGAGCCAGGGCCTGCACCTGGCAGGACCATGGCTGGGAGGGATACCCTTATCAGAGGGCTCTGAGTCACTTCTACTTGGCAGTGGAGACCTACAGTGTCTGACACAGTGCCTTGAACATGGCAGGCACTCGTATACATATGACAAATGAGTGAATGAATTAGGATGTCAGACAGGCTGTGGCTGCTTGGGTTGAGGACACAAAACATCTTCATGGCAGTAAGGGGGAGACATTCCCATAGGGCAGTGTTGTAGGACCCCTTGGTGTTTCCCAAGGGGCAACTGCCCTTGGGCATAGACACACTATTGCACCCTAAGAGCTAAGGCCAATATGACCAAGGATTTCACATGTTGGCAGAGAGCTGGGGGCCCCGGGGGGTGGCTGGTTCTGGCACTGATGACCTGGGTGCTTGTGCTGTCCCTGGAGGCTTGGCCAGGAGCCCTGAGGGGGGCAGACGCTCACTTCCAGAAGCTTTTCGCCCAGGAGAGCCATCACCTGTTGCCCTTTGAGGCAGAGAAGGTTGGGAGGCTGAGAGTGGGCGACCCCGGGGTCCTAGCCGCCTTCCACCTCCTCCTGGGGGTGGGCCCAGCAGAGACACCTGGGAGCGCCCAGCCCGGGATAGGCTGGCATGGAGTGTTCGGGCAGGTGGGGCAGGCAGACGGGAGGTGGATGCCCAAGGTCCCCTGGCCAGCAGAGGACCAGCTCGGACAGGCACCAGTGGGGAGGCTGGGGATCCTGCCGAGCGGCGAGCAGAGCGAGCAAGAAGAGTGGCTGGAGAGTCAGGGGAGAGGGGCAGAGAACCCCGCTGGTGAGTCAGGGCAATGGCCACATTGGACGTCATGGCAGCTGCTTGAAGGGGGGCATGTACCAGTGGCTCCCACAGCACTGGTTTTCCACTTAGCCGGGCTCCTGTGCCTGGGGCCAAGCCACGGACACCCCGAGCCATGTCCCTGTCGTGTTGCACCAAATGCTGCTCCATGATGCCACCACTGCTGCTGGGACTCGGCTCAGAGCGCTTCCTCTGCAGGATGGAATTCTTCTTGCCTAGAAGATGTCCCAGCAGAGAGGAGTTAGAAAGGAATCCAAGATGGAAGCTGGATTTCAAAGTATTTGAGGGTAACAGGATGGAGTGGAGGGTGTGGGGAATGAGAGTCAGGAGTACAGCGATGGCTCTGGGGAGGGGGTAGATCTTGGAAGACAGGGCTGAAGGAAAAGAATATGAATTGGAGATAGTCTGGTTCAGAGGCTGATACTCAGGACTCAAGGCATAAGGAAGGTTGATATTATAGCCATGGGCACAACATGCTGAGATCAGGACTGAGGATGATGTGCCTCAGTACTAAAATGTCTGTTGGGGCATTTGCTGGGACTGGGTGGGTTGGGATGTGGTGCCAGAGCACCAGAACCTAGACTTCCTGCTACAGAGATAGAAAGAGGTGCAGAGCAGATGGGGTGGACAGGCCTCACCGATGCGGCGCAGGCGATCCATGGCCACGGTCTCAAAAGCCCGTCGCATCATGGGGAACTCTTCCAGCACAGCATTGAAGTGATCCACACTGAGTGAGTAGAGGCGGCAGTAGGTGTCAGCCCTCACGCTGGCTGTGCGCCGGCCCCGAGTCAGCAGGCAGATCTCTGCAGAAGTTGGAAGGCTCAGGACCCCTTTCCCAAAGCTCCCTTTCCCCATGAGCTCCCTCTTACAGGGCCTGTAGATCCTAACCCAGAATTCTGACTCCTTGTTAAACTTGGAGAAACTAATGATTACTCTTACCCCAGGATACCAAATATTCCAAGCATTGACCTTCCCAATGTCTGAAAATGGCTCTCTGTCCTTCTCATGCTCTCCAAGTTGCAGCTGACAAATAGGCTGGTTTTGCTGACTCCAAGACTCCTCGCTACTCCACCTTAATCCTCAGTCCCATTGCTTTATACTCAGGGATAGACCCGGGGTAACTATGTCTGTGTATCTTCTCTGCCCACTCCTTTGAATGACCACCAAGGAGCTCCTTAGAGGAGAAAAGCAGAGCTAAAAGGAAGCCATGTGAAACATGATGGGATTGATGGCTTGGGGACTGACGTTTTGAGCCTCACTTTGGGCAGCAGTTGGCAGAACTGTTCCTCATTGTCACATGCTGGGTCCATAGATCATACCACCAGGTCAAACCTCAGGTCCCTGAGATAGCTGGGCTTCATTCCTATCTTTTTCTTAACCCATAGGGATCCTGAATTTTACTGCTTGGGCCATAAAAGGCCTCAAGGTTAGGGCTATGCATTGGAATCTCCTGAGGGTTGGGTTTTTTAAATTTATTTGTTTGGTTCATTTGGTTTCAACTCAGGGCTTCGTGCTAGGAAGGACACTGTCACACCTGTGTCAAACTGCTATCTCCACCTTATTTTTGTGCCAATACTGGGACATGTTTTGTATTTGTATGTGGGCTTGAACTGGGGCTTGAACTCAAGGTGTGGGTGCTGTCCCTGAGCTTTTCTGCTCAAGGCTAGCACTCTACCACTGGAACCACAGCTCTACTTCTGGCTTTTTTTGGTGGCTAATTGGAGATGAGTCTCATAGATGCTCCTAGCTACTCAGGAGGCTGGAACTGAAGATTGAGCTAGGATTACAGGCATGACCAACGAGCACCATATTGTTTTCCTGGTTAATTTCTCTTAAGACTTTTCTGCCAGGCTGGTTTTGAATGTCCCAAACAACTAGAATTACAGGTGTGCTCTCCTGGTGTCTAATTTTTATCTTTCAAAGACAGTCTCATTATGAGAGCTGGTCTAGACTATTTATTCTGCCTAGATAGTTGGGATGACAAGTGTGTAGCACCACACTAATTTTTTTTATTGGCTAAGATCAACTTTTTTTTTTTTGGTCTGTTGTAAGGCTTGAACTCTGGGCCTGGGCTCTGTCCCTCAACTCTCTAGTTCAAGGCTAGCGCTCTACCACTTGAGCCACAGCGCCACTTCCAGTTTTCTGAGTGGTTTATTGGAGATAAGAGTCTCATGGACTTCCCTGCCGTGTCTGGCTTTGAACCATCAAGACCAACATTTTGCACAAGCTGGCCTCCAACTACAATCCTCTGGATCTCCACTTCCCAATTAGTTATAATTACAGACATGAGTCACTACACCTGGTCTCCAAGGAACCTTTTTTTAAAAACACAGCTCCAGGCCCTAGGCCTAGAGATTCTTATTGCATAGGTCTGGTGAGGACCTGGAATTTGGTTGCATAGCTAGATAGGGACCCTGTTCCAAGGAGTAGCTTCCATCTGTCCAATGTTTGCAACTACCCCCACCTCCTCCCTGAGGCTTGCTGACCCCCAAAGTAGGATCCATCAGTGAGGCGGGTGTCCTGGGCACCACGTGCCAGCACGCTGAGCAGCCCATGCTGGATGAAGTACATCTTCCTGCCCACGGAGCCCTCACGCACCACGAGGTCTCCTGGCTGGAAGACCTCAAAGCGTAGCTTGGTGAGCACTGCGGTGACGAAGCTGGGGTCAGCATGGGCAAACAGAGGCATGTGGGCTACTAGGCCCCGACAGGTGAAGTTAATGATCTCCTGGGCAGAAAAGAGGCTTGTTAACTGGCTGTGTACTCCCCTCATCCCAAGATGTCCCCACCTAACCCATCTGTCTCCAGATATTGCACCCCTAGATCAAGACCTGAAAACGGCTAGGGATTATTGCAGGGGACTTGGAACCATCCCTAAGCTCCAGTCTTCAGAACACTCCCATGGGTCCTCATGGAAACACTTCTCCCAAATAGAACCCCCTGAAGTCTTTCCTCCATATATATTTCACTCCCACAAGACCTTCAAGAAAGACCTAAGAAGCCCTTCTAACACCTGGTCTCTGTAAGGGCCTCTAAAGGCTTCACTCCTCACAGGAGCATCTGTAGACCAGTGTTTCCTACTCCCAGACAGCACCCTAGAAGCCAGGATCCTTGATAAGCCCCACCCTCAGAGCCCAGCCCAGCCCAGCCCTGGCCCACCTCCCGCAGTGGCTCGCTCAGCTCGCCTAGGATGCTCTCCTCATCAAACATCTTGCCCTGGTAGCGATGCTCGTAGTACTCATGGATGCGCTGCCGTGTGTCAGCTGGCAGCTTGTGGAAGGACATGTACTGCTCCACCTGCTTGTACTGGAGGGCCAACCCATTGTCAGCAGAAAAAGTATACAGACATAGAGCCAGAACAAGGGAGGGGGAGGTGAAAGGTCATAGACGCAGGTCAGACCAAGAGGGGTAAAACATTGAGCCAGACATGGACACACAGAGCCACAGAGGACATATCGATAATGGTAAATATAGGGAAGACACACAGCAGTCACCGAAAAACCCAGATATGAGCAGAGGAGGGGTCCAATAACAAAATTCAGCCCAAATAAGGAAAAGGTTCACATAGGGAATGGGACAAATGGTCATGAGGCAGGGAAGAACATAGAGGCTTATCAAAATGGGCCTTAAGTTGAGCTACCCAATTTTCAGCACCTCTCCATGCCCACCCCTTCCCTCTCCTGTCCCTGCTGACCTTCTCTTGGTACTGACGCCGGGAAGAGTCCAGGGACTGGATGAGTGCAGTGGCATGACCGATGAACATGGCGTAGCACGTGGCACCCACAATCATGCTGAGCATGGTGAGCCAGACGTCAGGCATGCCTACAGGTGCCTGCTGCCCATAGCCAATGCACAGCATGTGGCTCATGGCCTTGAACAGGGCGTGGGAATACTGGCGGCCCCACGAATGGTTCTGGGGGGCAGAGTACATTGTAGATCTGGGCATGGGTCCCTCAGAACCTCACTCTTTAGCTGCCTCTTTTTCTCTTTGAGTCCTTCTACTTCAGACCTTCCTTCAGGAGACACTTGTTTGATTGTGGAGTCCCTTGAAGCACAAGGGGCCTGTTTTGCAACTTGGGGGGACCTCAGTTTCTGCCTAGGCTTCCTTTACTTGCCCGCTCCCTCTAACACACAAGGACTCCATCTGGAACTCTCTCCTTTCACCTCCCTCCAGCCCACCTCCTCTTATCTTCTCTGTTGATTATCTCTGACCTCCTGCTCCCAGGTCCATCCCTGTTACTTGGTCAGAAGAGCCCTTAGAAAGCCCAGGAGTGGCAGAGCTGTGGGGGCTTCTCACCACCATGCGGTTCATGGAGACCCAGCAGTCGGGAGGAAAGTCCTGCAGCATGGGGACCAGGAACTGCAGACAGCCATCCCAGTGACAGAGGAGCAGCATCATCCCAATGAGGTTGAAGATGCGAACCACAGCGCTGGCCAGGTCATAGGTCATGTGAAAGATCTGAGGAGTCCGAGGAAGGGCTGCTGTGGACAGGAACCCCTCCCTGCTAGTCCTCCTCCAGTCCTAGCCTTGCAAATTCTCTTTGAACTTCTCTCTTGCCCCAGCTTCCCTGAATTAAAAAAATGTGGCTACTATTTTTTTGTACAGTTTTATAGCATGCGCATGCATGCACACAGAACTAATACAAAGTAGGTTGTGTTATTATTTTCATCTCGTAGATAGGAAAAGTGAGGCCAATCAAGTGCCTAGAATCACATAGTAAGTGCCACAGCAGAGACTCAAACTGGTCTGCTGCATAAGCTGCACAGATGTAGCCTAGAAAAGAGGAGAAGGGGGCTTTTCACAATGTAAGGTCCAGGCCAAGTGTATAAGAATGAGAGCAGGCATGGGGCTGGGAAGGTGGCTCAATGGTAGAGTGCTTGCCTTGCATGCCTGAGGCCCTGGGTTTGATTCCTCAGCACCACATAAGAAAAAAGCCGGAAGTGGCGCTGTGGCTCAAGTGGTAGAGCGCTAGCCTTGAGCTGAAGAGCTGAGGGACAGCGCCCAGGCCCAGAGTTCAGGCCCCACGACCGGACCAAAGAAAAAAAAAAGAATTAGAGCAGGCAGCTCTTCCTCTCCAACAAAAGTAATCATAACAACTAATTTGCTGAGAACTTACTAGGCTACAGATGCCTTTCTAAGTGCTTTATACGAATTAACTCCTTTAATCCTTCAACTAAATCATAATTAAATATATGATTACCATCTTAGAGAGTAAGAATCAGTCTTGTATATATTTTAGATTTTAAAAATTAGGATCTGACCCCCAGGAAATGAGTTTGTTTGCTAGTCCTGGGGCTTGAACTCAGTACCTAGGCACTGTCCCTGAGCTTCTTTTGCTCAAGGCTAGTACTCTACCACTTGAGCCACAGTGTTACATCTGGCCTTTTCTGTTTATGGGAACTGAGGAATCAAACCCAGGGCTTCATGCATGCTGGGCAAGCACTCTACCACTAAGGCACATTCCCAGCCAGGAAATGAGATTTTTAGAACCTGTACTCCCAACCACTGAACTCTGCTGCCCTGAATTAGCAACGTCTTCTTTCCATCCATCTTCTACCTAGCCATCAACTAGCTCTAAAGTGTTTATCCAGCTGCTGTGCATTACCCTCCAGCACCCCCTGCCCTGCCCCAGGCCTCATTCGTCCAACACTTATTCTGTTCCTGTCAATTCTTCCATGGAAGCCTCATCTACCTGCCCCATCCCATAAAGTCACCAGGATCCCCACCCACAGCACCCTCCCACTGAGGAATCTGCAAGCCCCCCTGCCCACCTCCCCACCCCACCTCCTCCCACTGGTGTATGTAGCGGATGAGGCGGGAGAGGCGGAGCAGTCGCAGCAGGCTGAGGATCTTGGTAAAGCGAACGATGCGCAATGCTCTCGCTGTTTTGTAGACCTCAGCATCCAGCCTTGGCTCTAGCTCCACCACTAGGAAAATGTAATCCACTGGGATAGAGGAGATGAGGTCAACCAGGAACCAGGTACGCAGATAGCGAGTGCGGATGGCACGTGGTGCCAACAGTATCTCAGAGCCCTCCTCCACTACAATGCCCGTTCGGAAGTTGAGCACCAGATCCAGCAAGAAGAAAGTGTCAGAGAGGACGTTGAAGACAATCCAGGGTGGGGAGTTCTCCTCCTTGAAAAAGGTGATACCCACTGGCAGTACGATGAGGTTTCCCACCATCAGCAGCAGCATGATCAGATCCCAGTAAAACCTAAGAGAGGATTGAAATGCAGAGTAAGACCAAGGTGATGTTTCACCAGTACAACAAGGACAGAGGTCTGACACTGCCAAGAAAGAGGGGGCGGAATATAGATTAGAATATAGATTAATGGTCACTAGGAGGGAAAATTAGGACCATCATTTGGGAAACTAGTTCCACATCATTTAGTTAAGTGAAACATTTGCATTCCCTGCAGAGCAACAATTCTGTCCCTAGGAACACATGCACTTTAGGGAATGTGCTCCAAGACATATTTATAGGAAACCTACAGCAGGATTAAATTTGGTACAATTCAAATGACTATCTATAGAAAATGTAGGTAAGACAAGAAAGGAGCTGACAACATGCCTACTAGGCAAAATACTATGAGTTTCAGCGTCACCAAAGGAAAAAAATCCTACATATAAATATGCTGCAACATATTCACTCTATATCTAGGAAACCACTCAACTATAGCTACATTCAGTAGTAGTAGAGGTGGATCTCTCAAATTCAATGTTGAGCAGAAGAAACAAAGAAACATGATATATATCCAGATGCAAAGAAATATGATACATATCCAAATGATTCCACTGGCACTATGTTTCAAAACCAGGCAAAACTAAACTATATACATTGCTTTAGAATTCACAGAAAAGTAACAAAACTGTTTTAGAAATTAAAGAGTCCCAGAGGGGCTGGGAATGTTGCTTATTTGTAGAGTGCTTGGCTATCATGCATGAGCTCTGGGTTCAATTCCTCAGTACCACATAGAAAAAGCTGGAAGTGACACTGTGGCTCAAGTGGTAGAGTTCTAGCCTTGAGCAAAAGAAGCTCAGGAATGGGGCTGGGAAGGTGGCTCAGTGGTAGAGTGCTTACCTTGCACGCATGAGGCCCTGGGTTCAATTCCTTAGCACCACATAAGCAGAAAAGGCCAGAAGTGGTGCTAAGGCTCAAGTGCTAGAGTGCTAGTCTTGAGCAGAAGAGCTGAGGGACAGCACCCAGGCCCAGATTTCAATGCCCTGCAGCAGCAGGAGGAGGAGGAGGAGGAGGAGGAGGAGGAGGAGGAGGGGGAGGAGGAGGAGGAGGAGGAGGGGGAGGAGGAGGAGGAGGAGGAGGAGGAGGAGGAGGAGGAGGAGGAGGAGGAGGAGGAGGAGGAGGAGGAGGAATGCTCATGTAATTGTAACCTCTCTATATGGTATTATCACAATAAAAAAACTTACTAAAAATAAAAATAAATAAGAAGCCAGGTGCCAGTGGCTCACGCCTGTAATCCTGGCTACTCAGGAGGCTGAGATCTGAGGTTCATGGTTCAAGGCCAGCCCGGGCAGGAAAGTCCATGAGACTCTTATCTCCAATAAACCACTAGAAAACCAGAAGTGGCACTGTGGCTCAAGTGGTAGAGCGCTCGCCTTGAGCTAAAGAGCTGAGGGATAGCACCCAAGCCCAGAGTTCAAGCCCTACGATGACAAAGATGAAGAAGAAGAAGAGGAGGAGGGGGAGGGGGAGGGGGAGGAGGAGGAGGAGGAGCAGCAGCAGCAGCATTATATACTTAGCCTGGTCTAGGCCACAAGTTCTTTGTGTGTGTGTGTCAGTCAGGGGACTTGAACTCAGGGGCTAGGTGCTGCCCCTGAGTTCTTTTTGCTCAAGGCTAGCATGCTAGCACAGCCACAGCTCCACTCTAGTTTTCTGGTGGCTAATTGGAGATAAGAGTCTCATGAACTTTCCTATCCTGGCTGGCTTTGAACAGTGATCCTTGGATCTCAGCCTCCTGAGTAGCTAGGATTACAGGTATGAGCCACCAGCACTGGGCACAAGTTCAATTTTCAACATAATCCTCCCTCCACACACACACACACACAAATCTACATAGGAAGTTCAGAGCTAGTCTAGCAGATAAATTTGAGAGACTTGTATCTTCAATTAAGGAGTAAAAACCTAGAAGTGGAAGCATTGTTCAAATGGTAGACTGCCAGCCTTCAGCAAAGACAAGTTAATCAAGAGTGTAAGGCCCACTGGTTGCTGGTTGGCTTATGCCTGTAATCCTAAACTACTCAAAAGGCCGAGATCTGCCAGGTGCCGGTGGCTCATGCCTGTAATCCTAGCTACTTAGGAGGCTAGATCTGAGGATCTCAGTTCGAAGCCTGCCTGAGCATGAAAGTCCGTGAGACTCTTATCTCCAATAAACTACTCAGAAAACCAGTTGAAGAACTGAGGGACAGCACCCAGGCCAAGAGTTCAAGCTCCACAACTGAGAAAAAAAAAAAAAGAGGCTGAGATCTGAGATCTGAGGATGGCAGTTCAAAGCTACTCTGGGCAGAAAAGTCCCTGTGACACTCTTATCTCAATTAATCAACAGAAAACAGAAGTGGTGTTGTGGATCAAAGTGATAGAGTGCTAGCCTTGAGCAAAAAAAGTTACAGAACAGAGTCCCGACCCTGAGCTCAAGCCCCACAACTGACAAAAAAAAAAAAAAAAAGCCGGGGCGCTGGTGGCTCACGCCTGTAATCCTAGCTACTCAGGAGGCTGAGATCTGAGGATCAAGGTTCAAAGCCAGCCCAGGCAGGAGAGACCTATCTCCAATAAACCACCAGAAAACAGGAAGTGGCGCTGTGGCTCAAGTGGTAGAGCGCTCGTCTTGAGCTGAAGAGCTGAGAGACAGTGCCCAGGCCCAGAGTTCAAGCCCCACGACCGACAAAAAAAAAAAAAAAAGGGTGGGGGAGGGAGGGTGGTTTGGAAATGTGGCTCAGTGGTAGAGTGCTTACCTAGCATGCATGAAGCTCTGGGTTCAATTCCTCAGTACCACATAAACAGAAAAGGCTGGAAGTGGCACTATGACTCAAGTGGCAGAGTGCTATCCTTGAACAAAAGAAGCCAAGGGACAGTGCCTAGGCCCTGAGTTCAAACCCCAGGACTGACAAAAAAAAAAAGTGTGAGGACCTGAGTTCATGCCCTAGTACTGCAAAAAGAAAAAAGGATGGGCTGGGAAGGTGGCTCAGTGGTAGAGCGCTTGCCTTGCATGCATGAGGCCCTGGGTTTGAAAGCCGGAAGTAGTGCTGTGGCTCAAGTGGTAGAGTGCTAGCCTTGAGCTGAAGAGCTGAGGGACAGCGCCCAGGCCCAGTGTTCAGGCCCCATGACCGGACCCAAAAAAAAAAAGAAAAGAAAAGAAAAAAGGATTTGGGAATGTGAGACATCGCTTAGTGAGGCTTCTACAATGATAGCAATATATACCTCTTTTTTCTCATGTTCCTAGGGCTTGAGCTCAGGCCTCAGACACTCTGGACACTGAGCTTTTTTTTGCTCAAGACTGGCACTTCAGCCACAGCTCCACTTACAAGCCGTTTGTGTGTGTGTGTGTGTGTGTGTGTGTGTGTGTGTGTGTGTGTGTGTGTGTGTGTGTGTGTGTGTGTGTGTGTTTGTAATTAATTGTAGATACGAATCTCAGGTTCCTTCCTTCTTCCCTCCCTCCCTCCCTTCTTCTTTCTTTCTTTCTTCCTTCCTTTCTTTCTTTCTTTCCTTCTTTCTTTCCTTCTTTCTTTTTCTTTTTGTCAGTTGTGGAACTTGAACGCTGGGCCTGGGCGCTGTCCCTCAGGTCTCCAGCTCAAGGCTAATACTCCTACCACTTGAGCTGCAGCATCACTTCTGGTTTTCTGGTGGTTTATTGGAGATAAAAGTCTCCTGGGGCTGGGAAGGTGGCTCAGTGGTAGAGCGCTTGCCTTGCATGCTTGAGGCCCTGGGTTCGATTCCTCAGCACCACATAAGCAGAAAAAAAAAGCCGGAAGTGGCGCTGTGGCTCAAGTGGTAGAGTGCTAGCCTTGAGCTGAAGAGCTGAGGGACAGCGCCCAGACCCAGAGTTCAGGCCCCATGACCGGACCCAAAAACAAAACAAAACAAAGAGTCTCTTGGACTTTGCTGCTCAGGCTGGCTTTGAACTGTGATGCTCAGATCTTAGCCTATTGAGCAAATAGGATTAGAATCATGAGCCACCAGCGCCCAGCAATGTACACCTCTTAACATAAATAGTTGTTACATAAAAGCTTGCTTTATAATTACAGATATACCTGATATACATATATGTATGTGTATATATTCATCCCTACTATGTGAAATTGGTGTCATCATTATTAAATATTTTAAAATTTGTGAAAGCAGATATAGTACTCTATGTTAACTTCACAAGGTTGTTAAAATTTTTCCATCGAGACAATGGATGTGACAATGCTGTACAAATAGTAGTTGGTGCTATGACTCACCCACCCTTTAGTCCCAGATTTGAGAAAAGGTTGCTGCTTCTCTAGCTCTCTAACCATTCTCTAGCTCTCTGACCATTCCTAGTCTAGGACCTCATGTCTTCCTCAGCCTTTCCCATCCATTCCTTCTCTACAGCACCACTGGACCCATAAAATCCTATTACTCTGTGAGGTGGTCTATTACCCTACCTCCTGACTGAACTAAGCACTAAGCTTTCTAGGGATTTCCACCCCCACCCCACCCCCACACACACCAGCACCTTTGATGGCTGCACACAGAAGAACTCCTAAGGAGATCCCAAGGCAGTGAGACTTGAGCTATGCATTCCTTTTCTTTTTTAACCTCCCTGCACCTGCTGGGTGTGCCCACTGGGACTCCGGTTGAGCCTAGGCAAGGGAAAGCTAGACTGCTTTGGCAGAAGCTGTGGAAAAAAGGAGGTCAGTAGGGAGCATGGTGAAGCCTTCATTCAGAGAAAAATTAGTGGATAATCTGAGAGACTCAAATACCTATGGTGGTTTTAATTTTAGTACACATCTAATCCTAGCATAAAGCCAAAACACAACCCGGTCTGTCTGTGATTGCAAAATCAATCCTTCAGCCCCTGAGAGGGAACTAGGTGATTCCCAAATCAAGGTCCCCAGGAAGCCCCTCAAACTGTGTGCTTCCATTAAAAAAACAAACCCTTTAGCGTGCCCCCCCTTTTTGGGTTGCTGAAGAAAGATCTTGCATTGTGAGATACTGGGAGAGAGATCCTGCATTGTGAGATACTGGGAGAGAGATCTTGCATTGTGAGATACTGGGAGAGAAGAAAAGGTTTGCTTAAGCCATCAGTGCATCTTCACAGCCTGACTCACAGGCGGTCACAAGCCCGGCGGGTGATGCAAGTAGAAGATGGAGAAAAGGCACAATCATAAGGGGGATGTGGCTTCTGGGGACAAATCTGAGGGTGAACTGGGGGAGGGGAGGAAGATCCAGGGAAGACTAGAAAAGGTGCACTGGCAAGGTGAAAGCCAGGCAGTAAAAAGAGAAGTGGAAGGACAATGGGAGCAAAAGGAACAATTAATGTGGATGTCTCTGGATGCACAATAATTAATCTAAATCTCCAACTGTGTTTCCTTCACACTTTGTCTTTTCCCAGGTTAGCAGCTCCGCACACATCTCCACCTCATCCAAAAACTGTCCTTCATTTCCCCCAAGGACAGGGCTGCTCTCCTCCCCTAGCGACCTTGATGTAGAGGTACAGCTTAATGGGGACTGTAAAATGGCCCAACCCCCACTTTCAGTCCCTTCTCCCGAGGAATCACCTGGGCGGTGGTCCTGCTTTGCTGCCTTAACCGCTTTGAGTTTTGGCCCCGCCCCACAGCACCCGCCTTCAGCACCAGGGACAGCAACCAGAACTGTGGTCAGGACCCCTACCCCTTCCCAGGGTCCCCATCTCTCTAGGTAGCCTATCCAGCTGAGATAGACAGGTGCTGGGGGTGGGTAGAGGGTGGCATCTAGCAGGGTTCGACTTCTCCTCAAGCTGACCCGAGCCTTGGGATATGATATAAATTTTCAGATTCCAAACTAGGGTAGTCCCTGTGATCCAGATGGGCTACGGGGTTCCTGCAATGGGAAAACAAGACCTCTGGAGATTTCTTGATGTTTGCTTGCCCTTTCCGGCCGAGGATACCCTGCCCAGGAATTCCTAGGTTGGGTAGGGGGAGGAAATTCTCCTGCTGCACCCGGGGACCCCTGGGTGACTCTGGAGGGTAGGGCGGGCCTGGCATCCGCGTCGCTGCCCACGGGGGTGGGATCAGTGTCCTCCGCCCTCCTGGCCGGGCCCCCAATACCGGAAGTCGCTGTAGGGGTGGATGATCCAGGCCCCCGCTGACTTCACCCGCTCCTGCTCGATTTCCACTGCCTTGTGGCTGCCGAACACCCGGAGGGAGAACTTGTTGACCGTGGGCTGCAGCAGCGTCCCGAGCTGCCTTCGCTTAGGCTCCGGCGCGGACCCCGGGTTCCGACCCGAGGCCGCGTTCGCTGGAGCCGGAGCAGCGGGAGGCGCCGCTTCCAGCCCAGGGGTCGTCCCTTCGCTGGCCCCGGCCGCCGACCGCGGCTCCGCCTCCATGACCGCCAGCTCACACGCTTGGCCTCTCAGACCCCTCCGCAGCCATCCGGGGGTCCGCGACCCCTCAGGCGTAGGAGCCGGAGCAGCCCCGCAGGCTCGGAGCGGAGGCGTCGTCGGCTCCGAACCGCCAGCCCGCGCGGCGGAGGGGGTGTGTGCTCCGGGCCGCCGGCGGCGGGACTCGCTGCGCCCTCTGGCGCGGGCCGCGGGAACACTGGGCGGGGCGGCGGGGGCGGACCGAGGAAGCCGGGGCTGGGGGAGGCGGGGGGGGGGGGGGCGGGGGGGGAGGGACGACTCCGCGGTGGGTGTGGCCTAGCGCTCGGGGGTGGCCCCGCCGACGTTTGGGCAGAGTAGGGAAAGCACAGCCGCCGCTGCCAAGGAGAGGGCGTGGCCTGCGGTTAATGGGCTTTTACTCTCTGAGAGCCAGAGAGGTGGGGCCATCTGCAAGTGGCGGGAAACAGCTTGCCGAAAGGGGGGCCAGGGCGTGGGGGAGCTGATGCTAGGAGAGAGGCGATCTGAGATCTGATATCAGAGATAATGTTTTATTTCCTTTTGCTTTGCCTTTTGAGACAAGAGTTTCACTGTGTAGCCTAGGCTGACCTTTGCTTCTTCTTCCCTGTCCTTACCCATGGTTTTATGTCCCGATTCTGCACTCTCCTAAGTCTTTCCCTCCCTTTCTGAGCTCCTCCAAGCTGCTGCCCCTACCATATTTCCTAAGTGTCAACCAACCTTCACCAATGCAACAATTCTTCACTTAGTGGTTACCGAGGATACAAACATGAGTATAAAAGTTGTAGCTATTGGGCTGGGAGTGTGGCTTAGTGGTGAGTGCTTGCCTAGCATGTGTGAAGCCCTGGGTTTGATCACTCAGCAACACATAAACAAAAAAAGCCAGAAGTGGTGCTGTAACTCAAAGGGCAGAGTGCTAGTTCTGAGCAAAAGAAGCTCTGGGACAGCGTCCAGGCCCTGAGTTCAAGTCCCAGGACTGGCAAAAACAAAACAACAACAAGAAGTTGTAGCTAGGGACTGGGAAGGTGGCTCAGAGGTAGAGCACTTTCCTTGCATGCATGAGGCCCTGGGTTCGATTCCCCAGCACCACATAAGCAAAAAGAAAAAAGCCGGAAGTGTCGCTGTGGCTCAAGTGGTAGAGCGCTAGCCTTGAGCTGAAGAGCTGAGGGACAGTGCCCAGGTCCAGAGTTCAGGCCCCACAACCGGACCAAAAAAAAAAGAAGTTGTAGCTATTAAGCTAACTGCTCATCTGCCCAAGCACAGAACAAACAAGAAATTACGGGCTGGGAAGATGGCTCAGTGGTAGAGTGCTTGCCTTGCATGCATGAGGCCCTGGGTTCGATTCCTCAGCACCACATAAGCAAGAAAGCTGGAAGTGGCGCTGTGGCTCCAGTGGTAGAGCGCTAGCCTTGAGCTGAAGAGCTGAGGGACAGTGCCCAGGCCCAGAGTTCAGGACCCATGACTGGCGGAAAAAAACAAAACAAAACAAGAAATTACACTATGTGTTACTAAGTGCTGTACATTCCCAATAATCTGAACTTCTTCCCTTCAGCTCCATTTTTTTTTATTGTTACTGCCTATTTCAAGTCCTTGGTGGGCCTTTTTTCCACCTAAATTATTTTAGAAGGCTTTGTAAGAGTTTTCAGTCTTAGCAAGGCACCAGTGGCTCATGCCTGTAATCCTAGCTACTCAGAAGGCTGAGATCTGAGGATCAGGGTTCAAAGCCAGCCCAGGCAGGAAAGTCCATGAGACTCTTATCTCCGATAAATTACTCAGAGAAAGCTGGAAGTGGGGCTGTGGCTCAAGTGGTAGATTACTAGCCTTGAGCTGAAGAGCTCAGGCAGAGTTCAACCCCAATGACCAGAAAAGGAAGAGGGGGGGGAGAAAGAAAGAAAGAAAGAAAAGAGAAAGAAAGAAAAAAGAGAGAGAAAGAAAGAAAAAGAAAGAAAAGGGCTGGGAAGGTGGCTCAGTGGTAGAGTGCTTGCCTTGCATGCCTGAGGCCCTGGGTTAAATTCCCCAGCACCACATAAGCAAAAAGAAAAAAAAGCCGGAAGTAGCGCTATGGCTCAAGTGGTAGAGTGCTAGCCTTGAGCTGAAGAGCTGAGGGACAGCATGCAGGCCCCACGACCGGACCCAAAAAAAAAAAAAAAAAGAAAGAAAGAAAGAAAAGAAAAGAAAAAGCCGGGCACTGGTGGCTCACGCCTGTAATCCTAGCTACTCAGGAGGTTGAGATCTGAGGATCTAGGTTCAAAGCCAGCCCGGGCAGGAGAGACCGTGAGACTCTTTTTTTTGGGTCTGGTCATGGTCATGGGGCCTGAACTCTGGGCCTGGGTGCTGTCCCTCAGCTCTTCAGCTCAAGGCTAGCGCTCTACCACTTGAGTCACAGCGCCACTTCTGGCTTTTTTCTTATGTGGTGCTGAGGAATCGAACCCAGAGCCTCTGGCATGCAAGGCATGTGCTTCTACCACTGAGCCACCTTCCCAGCCCTCTTGAGACTCTTATCTCCAATAAACCACCAGAAAACCGGAAGTGGCGCTGTAGCTCAAGTGGTTGAGCGCTCGCCTTGAGCTGAAGAGCTGAGGGACAGCGCTCAGGCCCAGAGTTCAAGCCCCATGACCGACCAAAAAAAAAGAAAAGAAAAGAAGGAGCGAAGGAATGAAAGAAACGAGAAAGAGAGAGAAAGGGAGGGAGAGAAAAAGAAAGAAAGGAAGGGAGGAAAGAAGGAAAAGAAAGAAAGAAAGAAGGAAGGAAAGAAAGAAAAGTCCCCTGAAACTCTTATCTCCAATAAACTACTCAAAAAAGCCAAAAGTGGTGCTGTGGCTCAAATGGTAGAGTGCTAGCCTTGAGCTAAAGAGCCCAGGGACAGTGCCTGTTAGGATCCATCACAACCATCCCAGGGGACCATGCAGAGGCAGGCAGGCACAGGAGAAAGATTATTATAAGGTTTATTAAGGCTGGGTATGTGCCTTAGTGGTAGAGCGCTTGCCTAGCATGCATGAAGCCCTGGGTTTGATTCCTCAGTACCACATACACAGAAAAAGCTGGAAGTGGCGCTGTGACTCCAGTGGTAGAATGTTAGCCTTGAGTAAAAGAGGCTTAAGGACAGTGTCCAGGCCCTGAGTTCAAGCCCCAGGACTGGCAAAAAAAACAAAACAAAATGAAACAAAAACAACAATAAGGCTTATTGGGGGGGCCATATCTCCCCTGGGAGAAGGAACACTGTGGCATCTGCCTCTATCCAGGTAGGTAGCTCTGGGGATAGTGGTGAGGTGAGTGCGCAGGTAGGTCTAGGCAGAGAGAGGGAGTGGCCAACTATATGGCAGGAACTCTAGGGCAGAGAGGTGCTCAGATCTGGGTGAAGCTGATGACTGGAGGTGAGGATAATGCTAACTGTAGCCAGTCCCTGAGTTCAATCCCAACAACCAAAAAATAAAATAAAAGTCAATCTCTCCCAGTCTAATTCTTTTTTCATACTTTACCAGTCACACTTTTTTTTTTTTTTTAATCATTTTTCTTTTTACCAGTTACATTTCCCCCCCTCCCCCCCCAGTCCTGGGGCTTGAACTTTAGGCCTAGGTGCTGTCCCTGAGCTTCTTGTCCCTTGTTCAAGGCTAGCACTCTACCTCTTGAGCCACAATTCATTCACCTCTCGCTTTTTTGAGTACTTTATTGGAGATAAGAGTCTCATGGACTTTCCTGCTCGGGCTGGCTTCCAACTGCAATCCTCGGATCTCAGCCTCCTGAGTAGCTAGAATTATAGGTGAGAGCCATTGGCACCCAGCTACCAGTTACCTTTCTAAAACCTAAATACAAGCTTGAAGCCAGGAGCCCCCACCTGTAATCCCTAGCTACTCAGGAGGCTGATAAAACAGGATAATGTATGGAATCTAAGGCCTAGTGAAGACAACTCATAAATTATGGTATTTATAAACACAGAGGTGCTGTCTTTGCTTCAAAGAGAGACAACAGGATGTATTTCTTCCTAAAGGGTGCATTCTTCACCCAGGGATTAATAACTTTCTCACCCAAGGATTAACAACTGTCTGATAGATGTCCCAAAAATGCAGATAGCAGGACACCTCCTTGTCTCGGGGATAGAGATCTGTTTTATGGCAAGATGGATTCTTACTTGGAAGCACAGAGAATAACATCAGAGCAAAGACAAAGCACCTAGCTATACATAAAACCAGACCCCTTACCTTTACCCTATAAATAACCTAATAGTCCAAGGAGCTATGCTTTTCTGGGTGTCTCATGTATCTGTCTCTATGTCTCTCTGGATCTGTCTCTGCCTCTGTGTGTGCGTGCATGCGTGTGTGTGTGTGTGTGTGTGTGTGTATGTCTCTATGAGAGTACCCACACACTGCTAGAGTGTACCCTTGCCCTTCTGTTTGTCTGCTTTTTTGTCCGTTTGTCTGTAGGACTGCTTGTTTACTTACTCAATAAAGCTCTCCAAGTTTTCTTTTTTTTTTTTTCCCCAAGTTTTCTTATCATTGTGACTTGTCCAAAAATTCTTATTCTGTCATTGAAGTCAAAGACCCTAAGCGAAGAGTTTCTATATTTAAAAGGAAGCTTCATGGCTGGGAAGTTGGCTCAGTAGTAGAGTGTTTGCCTTGCATGCATAAGGCCCTGGATTCGATTCCTCAGTACTACATAAGCAGATAAAAGCCGGAAGTGGCATTGTGGCTCAAGTGGTAGAGTGCTTGCCTTGAGCTGAAGAGCTGAGGGACAGTGCCCAGGCCGAGTTCAGCCCCCATGACCAACAAAATAAATAAATAAATAAAAGGAAGCTTCACTAAACTTCACCTCCATCAGGCAACAGCTGAGATCTGGTTTGAAGCCAAGCCAAGAAGGAAATTCCAGGAGGCTCTTATTCCCAATTAACCACCTAAAAGCTAGAAGTGGGGCTGTGGTACAGGGTTAGCCTTGAACAAAAAAGCCTAGGGACCTTACCCAGGTCCTGAGTTCAATCCCTAATACCCATACAAAAACAAAACAAAGGGGGCTGGGAATGTGGCTTAATGGTAGAGTGCTTTTCCTGCCCGGGGTTGGCTTTGAACCTCGATCCTCAGATCTCAGCCTCCTGAGTAGCTAGGACTACAAGTTCTTTTGCTCAAGACT